GAATAGCACTATCCAGTTCTGTAAGATTTGATGGTTGTGGAACCAGCTGCCTGATGGCTCTTTTAACTTCGTCCCACAAATGCTTAATTGGATTGAGATCTGGTGATTGTGGGGGCCACCTAAGCAAGGTAAAGTCTCTCTCATGTTCTTGAAACCACTCCTGCACAATATGAGCACCGTGACATGGTGCATTGTCCTGTTGGAAGAAGCCACCTCCATTGGGATACGCCATCAACATGATAGGATGAACTTGATCAGCAACAATACTTAGGTATGTTGTGCTATTCAGACATTTATAATGGTCTGGTCCTCTAGCAACTTCAGCGAGAAATTATAGCTAATTTGCCTACAAACGCCAGGTGGTCATAATAATCTGGTCAATCAGTGTGTGTGTATATATATACACACATACATATACCATACGTATATGTATATAAATATATGTGTGTGTGTATATCTACATATAGATATATATATCCTATAATAAAAGCCCAGCAACCGAATGGCGGAACAACCAGAATGAACTGTTGACCAGTCACTATGATGCACACTGACCACCAGGGGGCAGACACTCAATGCAGGAGCTGCCCCCTGGTGGTTAGTGTGCTCCCACAGTAGGAGTGCTGCTCAGCTGACTGGGATGAGCGGCACTCCAACAGCAGGAGGAGCTGCTCAGAGGGTGGGTCCATAGCCACTCAGCTGATGGGGATGAGCAGTGCTCCCACAGCGGGCTGATCCCCACAAGCCACTCTCCCCACCAGCACACAAATCCCGTGCACCAGGCCTCTAGTATATATATTAGCGGGCACACACACACACACACACACACACACACACACACACACACAATAGGTCCTCGGTTACATCAGAGATCCATTCCTATGGCGTGACGTAACGCGATTTTCACTGTAAGTCGGAACCCACCTACATAAGTACCTATGTCACTCACATGGAGCACATACACAGCAGTAATGAAGTGAAACAGTAAAAAAATTGGAAAGAAAGATAACAATTCCTGACCTTTACTTGTAAATAAATAATAAAAAACATAAAGCACATATGTACATACATCAAAATGACAGAACTTTTTTTTTATATATAAATAAATGGGAGATGGCGACGTAACCACAAAACAATGTACATCGAGTCCAACGTAACCCGAGGACTATCTGTGTGTGTGTGTGTGCGCGCGTGTGTGTGTATACACACACACATACTTTTTTTTTTGAACAATTCATGTCCATTAACTGAGATGAGAAGCTTAGAGTTTGAACATATGTGAGACAGATGTTAGAAAGCTCATGTTGTACGTACTGAGTTTAATGTTTGCTAGCCAAATGGAGTTATTAAATAGGCAATTGAATATAAGAGTCCAAAATTCAGGGGAAAAGTCTAGGCTAAAGATGTATATTTGAATGTCTGAATAGTTTCAGAGATGAAAGTATAAACTTTCTTTCAAATAGCAGACATAAATAGGGAAATCTAAATCTTATAGAATGGGAATAGCTAAATATTACAATACATTCAAACTAGAAAACACCCTGAAGCAGTTAAAGAAGTGAGTTTTTCTATGTGTACTAAAAGAGAGAGAGAGACCCAAGACGCATTATTAAAAAAGAAATACAAACAATATACAGTGTGAGTCTCCATTTATGTTAAAACAAAACAAACAAGTCAATATATTGATGAGATGAGACTGACACACAGGCATGGAAAGCAAAGATATTGGTGAATTTTTACACTACGTAAGTCTCTATTGATTGAGTTTTATGAGATTATTCAGCCATTACTGTGCACATTAAATAAATTCCAATTTAGAAGTCATGATAGCATAAATTCTCAAGAAAATCTTTTAAAAAAACCAAATCCCATACATTAAAAGGCCAGTCATTTTCTAAGCATTTAACTTTAAAAATTCCTCTACAGAACTTTTGTAATTTTTATAACCTCATGAGTTTTAATTTCAAAAAATATTTATTCTGTTTCTAATATGTTTTACTACACATACGCATACATTTATCTGACTTACTTCTTTCTGGAATCTCTCTAATGTAAGTTTTCTCTGCATTTGGTCTTGCACCCAAGGATCAGCTGCGTATTCAGATTCTAAAAGAGAAGTCCAACAATTTGCTGCATCTCTCTTTGTCTTTGTAAGAACAATACGAACCATTTTTCTGTCCTCTAAACAAACAGAAATCACAAATTAGAGTTCATTCAATTTTATATTTTCAAAAACCATTAGGTAATCTTGACACAAAATTACTCTCAATACATTTCTATTAGTATATCTTTCAAAACTGCAAAGACAAAACACCTAATGCAACAGGGAAAACATACTAAGTTCCAAGACAAAATTAACTGATGAAAAGACCCTAGGATTTATAATAGATTACCCTTACCCAAAGTCCATGTTCCCTCATCAGCTATTGTAGAATCAAAGAGTTTGCCCTGAAAAATAAACATATGTTACTAAAAATACAGAAATTTCATTAATTTTTATAAAGCTTTCATGATTCTAATTCACATAAAATTGTCTAATTTGGTTAAAACAGGGAGATAAATTTTTACACCATTTCAACACATTGAAAGGTGCTCAACCCTAAGCTTCCTCCTAGCAAGGGAAATGAAGCCTGGTTTGCACTGCTTAGAATATTTACTATGACAGAAAACACAGGGCTCTTTAAAGAAAGATCAGGGATCCTTAATTTTTAGAAGACTAAGAAATACTACTTGGGGGAGGCCGGGGGAATGTCAAGGGGGGGGGGGGGAGAGACATATGTAATATGCTTTGTAATACTTTAAGCAATAAAACAAAATTTAAAAAAAAACACTACTGATCATTGATTAGCCAAATATAAAATGAATAACCGAAATGCTTTATGAATTAAAATACATTACAAGAGCTCTCCTGATGAAATTAAGAAGAAATTATGTCTTTTAAAATAAACTTTTAAAAGCTGGCTCATTCTAAAAAAAAGAAAAAAATCAAAAACAAACTGGCTCATTCTTTGTTGGGCAAATTGGCATTAACAAATTACTTTAGCACATACTACAGATCTAAGATTAGTAGTTCCTGATTTTCTTCAGAAACTGGTTTTAAGTAAAGAGCAAAATGTAAGTTTAAAAGAGAATGCATATGCTGAAACCCATTTATTTGTTGCTTTGCCAAATCTGTTTTAGAAAATATCATGTTAACAAATATATATTTCACATGTCAATACGTGTGAGGAAAAAAAAATCCTAGTGGTCTAAATATACACCTAAAATCCTCCAGTTAAAGAGTTATTGCTAAATTCCCAAGTGATTGGAAACTTGAATTGTAACCTTAAACCACTGTTCAGGAAACTACGAATTGCAATAACTATTCAGAAAGGTCATTTGGGTCCACGTTGATAGAAATCAAAGTCTTTTAAATCAATCGTGCTTTTCTCAAAGGTACCCTTTAATAGAATAATAACAGCTAACATGTCCTGTGTGCTTATTTCATAGCAGGCACTCCTCCCAGCTCTTCATGCACATGGATGCCATGTTATGCTCCAAACAGTCCTATAAAAACGTTACTATAATTACTGCCCTTTATGGATGAAGTTAGAGACACTGAAAAATCTCTTGCCCAAGGTTTCAAAACTAGAAAAAAGGCAGAACCAGGTATCCCATCAAACAGTCTTCACCGCTGCCGTCAAACATCTGGAGCAGCTAATCTGAGAAAGAAATCTAGCTTGGATTTAATTGATTTTAACTATAAATGCTACTAATAATGCTACTTTCATTATGCTTCCCTACTTGCCATAACCAGTGCCGTTATGTCTCATTCAACGCTGTCATCCCGGCACACAGGGCGGCGCCTGGAAGCATGTGTATGGAATATAAATATTTATTTCTTTGACGATCTAGTTAAGTTGCTTCGGCTGAAGACTCGCAGAGGCACAACAGGGGCAATTTCATTCGATTTAGAAATAAAGCCAGAAAAATAGGCTCCTCCAATTTCCGCGTCAACTCAGGACTGGCCCTGGAGGTGGGGGCTCCGACCAGACCACAATCAGAAAAGCCCAACGGCCTCGCCACAGTCTTCCTACGGAAATGGGGAGCCTTAGGGCTCGGGGGTTTGGGGAGGCCGCGAGGAATCTGGGCACCAGCCCGACCGGCCGCTACCTTGAGGATCTCGCGGCCACCCACCGCCAGCGCCACGTGCCGGCTCTGCAGGTCGCACCGGACATCTTGGGCGCGAGTGCCTGGCGGCACCTGCACTTCAATGAACACCTCCTCCAAGGTCTGATACCACTGCCCCCAAGGCGTCCCGCACGGAACCACCCCACTGCGCTCCTCGAAAGGGGCCGACATACTCCAGGTGCCTCCCGGCGGCAGCGGCACAGAGCGAGCTGAGCGCATGCGCCGAATCCCCACGCTCAGGGCCACGCCCCGGCCTCCCGGCTTCGGTTTCCGCTCGGGTCACCGCCCATGCGCAGGAATGTAAGCTGACATCTCAGCGCGTATTTCCCTTTTCATTGGCTACTTAGGACGCTGGCAGGGCCAAATTTTAAACAAGTGAAATCCGAAAAAGTTTAAATTTCCAGGAGCGATAGGAGACGGTTGGAACCAGCGAGGCGGGAACTCACCGCCACCTTTGTGACGCCACTGGTCGTCTTTCAAAGTTCTCCGATTTGAAGTGCGCTTGCGCGAATGCTGCCAGTGTGTAGGTTACAATTGAGTAACGCCAGCCGTGATTGGGCACGGGAGAGGGCGGGGCGCGAAGACAGTTATGCTCTCCTATAGGCTGGTAGCCTAGACTCACAAGCTACCTCATTGGATGCGGCGAGAGCTGAGTACGCATGCTCTTTTCCTGTTCCTTTCCTGGATTGGTGTGCCCAGGTTTTTGGTTTTCCAATTGGCCAACGTCGGGGTGGGCGGGTAACGAGCCGGGAGATTTGAATTTGAAAGCCAGTAATGCCAGGATCAGCACCCGGAAGTTGTGGAGGAACGCTGGTTCCCAGCGGCTTGTGGAGCTGGTGGTCATCATGTCCTTTCCTAAGGCGCCCCTGAAGCGATTCAATGACCCTTCTGGTGCGTACGGGGGAAGGGACTGGGGGACCGGAGTTGATCTCACGCCCCTTGCCCCCTGCGGTTCCCCCTGTCAGAGGGCAATTGGAGGCGATTTGGGGGCTGACATGGGGATCATTCAATTGATTAATTTTTTTTTCTTCTTAAATACATATTAAGCATTTACTACATGCCAAGCATAACTTAAGATAATAAGAATACAGCCTATAAACGGTGCTGTGTAGACACTGAAGCAGAGAGAAGGAATAGGTGTGACAAAACGTTGGTAGCTATTGGATGGTCCAGTGCGGAAGGCCTTGCGGTTAAAAAAAAAGGAAACACCTGACCATGCTTTTTGTCTGTATGTGTGGGTTTCTTTTTGGATATTCCATTCAGGCATAAAGGAAAGAAGGCTGGTAAAGGCAGTTTGTGGTGGTATCGGAAACACTAAATGAAGTGATGGCGGTTAATAGGGACGATCTTTACATAGATGATTAGTTCTGTTTTAATGCCCCAGCATCCTGGAGAGGTGATCCTATTCGTTATTTTACTAATAAAATGACAAAGACTTACATTTCCTGTGTTACACAACCGAACTGGGCCTTCTCGAAATCCATCCGGTGCTCTTAACCACTGCAGGTGCATACGTGCAACAACCAAGAAACCTTGAATGTGGTTGGTAAGACCATCAGTTATTACAGGCTGACTTTTTATGCAGGGACTGTGCTAAGATTTTTCCTCCTAGGTCTGGTTTATTTTTTCCAACAGCCAAATGAGGAAGGTGCTGGTACTGTCCTTATTTTACAGATGAGGGAACTGAGGGGTTTTGTAACTGTACTACTGAACAGCCTGTAAGTGGTAGAGCTGAACCATGATTTATCCATTATAACATACACTTAGAGGTCACTGTCTTTAATCTCTGTCAGACAGTATGGAAATGGAATGTTCTTATTCACCATCTCCCAATGACTACACTGTATCTGGCACATAGTAATGCCTGTTGATTGGCAGACAAAGCTGGATTTGAATCCTAATCTGGCTGATTACAAAACCCTATTCCATCTGCCACATCCCTAGTGACTTTCTGTGTTTTCACCACACTGCTCACCTCAGCCCTGAGCTCAATACTGGGGATACAGTCATGATTAAGACAGTCTCTACCCTCCAAGCCGTTTGCCTAATGTGGGAGATGGATAAGTACATTGTCTAGTGTGGGGAAGTGGAGAAGTACACTATATAAGTACATACACCGCTGCAAACCTGGGAAGTTCTATGAGAGGAATGATATGCACAGGCTGCTGTGTGGTGGTTATAACCTGATTGGAGGATGCAGAGAAAACTGGAAGAGATGACATCAGGCTGAGATCTGCAGGATAAGTGAGAGTTAGCCAGGCAAAATGGCAGGTGAACTAGCCATTCGAGGTGGAAGGAAAAGAAACTAAAAAGTTCTGGAAGTTTGAAGCATTTATTTAATGCAATGCATAGAATGTTTATGTGCATACAGAAGTATCGCCGGACTGCCTGTGTTAGCTTCTGATTATTGGTTTTTTTTTCAAATATATTTTTATTGATTTCAGAGAAAAATTTGCTATGTGTGAGTACACAGATATTTTCTTTTGTTTCACTTTTTTAAAAAAAAAAATGCTAGTGAAGATGTACCAGTGAGCTTTTATCATCCCATTTGAAAAACAGGGGATAGTAGGAGTTGCTTTGGGATTGTCAAACTCCTTGCTGTTCCTATTTATTTGCATGAAACTCTGAAGGAAATAGCTTTTCAGAGAATAGTATAACTCTATTGATTTCCAATCAAATAAAGTTTTATGCTAATGACATTTTTGTTATGAGTCCTGAAAGCCAGATCTTACATTTGCTACGCATAAGCACTCTGAAATGCCTTTAATTTGGGACTCCAGTTACTTACATGAGATTATAAAATATAAATTTCTGAGACATACAAATATAGTCTATGGTGTTATAAATTTTTTGATATATTGATATTAGGCAGAGATGGATTATCACTATACATTTTTTTCCAGGCTAAATCTTGAGGGCTAGACACTTTTATTTGCTTCATTTCTAGAATCTGATGGTAGTTAACCTCAGTGACTCTGAGTAGCGTTGATTCCAAATATATAATTTCTTATAGTCAATCCTTAAAAAGAAAACCATGTTGCTTGTTCTTTCATAATGTTCATCCCAAGACTGTCTTTGCTGTTTTGTTCAGTTGCCGGTATTCCTTTGACCCAATTGAAATAAAGGGCATTTGGGAAGATGATATTGTTTCTCATATCAAATGGGTGCTATTTTTACATTTGAAAGAACAAAGTGTCTATTTATAGCATTTTTTGCATTTATATCACTCACTTTGCTTTGCATGTTTTAACTTAGGATTCTAAGTGACATTAGAAGAAATATTAATGTTTTCTGTTTCTCTAGGTTGTGCACCATCTCCAGGTGCTTATGATGTGAAAACTTCAGAAGTATTGAAAGGACCAGTATCCTTTCAGAAATCACAAAGATTTAAAAAACAAAAAGGTACTGGATCCCAAAATACAATAATGGTTATATGATCTCGTAAGTTTTAAAGTTATGAATAATAGTATATACATTTAAAGCTGTTATGGTATTTCTAAAAATGTGAAACTATAGGTATAGTTAAATTTTTGTATTTGAAAAATAAATGTTTTGTATTTGATGGATTTATAAGAGAGTCTACTACAGAATAATACTTTTATCAATACACTTGTATAATCAGGAAAATTATACAAAACACTTACAAGGATATGTTGTTTCCCTTTATATATATATAGTATTGATTTCAGAGAGGAAGGGAGAGGGAGAGAGAGATAGAAATATCAATGATCAGAGAGAATTATTGATTGGCTGCCTCCTGCACGCCCCCTACTGGTGATCAAGCCCACAACCCAGGCATGTGCCCTTGACCGGAATCAAACCTGGGACCCTTCAGTCCACAGGCTGACGCTCTATCCACTGAGCCAAACCAACGAGGGCTCATTTCCCTTTTGCTAATTACCTTAGCCTTCTGTCAAAGAACATTAGGAAAATCAGAAAAATGTTAGATGTGTAAAATATATTGTGCAACTAATTATTTAGAAATGTACAGCCAAGAAAAGAATAACATATTGCTTCACTAATAGTTGCAATAAGAAATTTTGAAATTGTGTTTTGTCTCTGATACAATTTATTGCAGAATCTCAACAAAATCTTACTGTTGACAAAGATACTACTTTGCCTGCTTCAGCAAGAAAAGTTAAGACTTTGGGATTAAAGGTGAGGTAATCTTACGTTCTACCTGTTTTATGAACTGTACCATTTCAGTTTGTCTTTATTTCTTTGCATTTTCCCCCTTCTTTGGGCCTGTAAGTTTAAGTTGATTACTCTTTGTAAGAGTCTTTTCTTTATGAGATAGCATAATTAAAAATTCAAAATGTATTGCTGTTTAACATTAGAAAGAATCAGTCAGTAGCTTTATTCATAAAGTTCCTCCTCTGTTCTTTGGACTTTTTAAGAAAAAAAAACCACAAATCTAATTTTATTGAGATAAAAACTTTTAAGCCTGAAATATTTTGAGATTTAAAGAACCTTTTTCCCTCATTTACTAACTCACCTACAAAGTATGTAATAGACTCAGGGAAATTTTTAAAATAGAAATTAACTGTTTGGAATCCTTAATCTTTTCTGATAACTAAAAATAAAATTCATCTATGATGTTTGTGGCACTAAAATTTGATCATCACTATTCTTTGATTTTTAAATAGAAGGAATCTCAAAAGAATGATAAAGACTTGAAGATGTTGGAAAAAGAGGTAAGCAATGCTTTCAACTTATTGAAAAACAAATGTGCGGTGTATAATGGAAAGAGTTACATAGAATTAAGAGACAGGGATTCTGTTGCAGTTTGAGGAGCCACACTGGATGGCAAATATACCATTCAGACCAGTGCCTACAGGGTAATCATCCCTTGGCTTGGACCCTGTATCAGAGCCTGGGTGTCTGTGTGGCATGCTGACAAAGTCAAGTTGTTAGCCTACTAAGGGACAGGTTCAGGATAACCCATTTAATGAAAAAATGATCATGAGAAATCAATATGTTGGTTTACTACAATTATATGTGTTTGTATTTACTTTTCCTGTATGCTACTCTGCATGTTAAGACAATGACTAACTGGGGAATTGCTCAGTGAGCATAAAATGCTAGCAGGTTAGTTAAATGGAGTTCTGCTAATCTGATGCATTCGTCTGCACCAGTGGCATACACCTCCCTCAAGGATAAAATGATTTAGGCTGCCCTGTTACATGGTACTCACTTACCACATGTGACTATTTAAAGGAAATTAAATTAAGAACTCAGTTCTTCAGTTGCACTAGTCACAGTTCAAGTGTTCAATAGCCCCACGTGAGGGGAGGCAACCATACTGGACAGTGCATCTCCACCATGGCAGAAATTCCTGTTGAGCTGAGCTGACCTAAAGAACCACTTACTTCCCTAAGCAGGGCTAAGCTGGTCACTGCCAGCTTTGCTTTTCCGGCAGTAATTTCTCCATGTTTCCATTACTGACTCTTTCTGGTGGACATATTCTTTTGATTTATTAAAGCTTTTCATTGATTACAGTAAAATATTGGCTTAGGACCAAGAATATGTCCAGGTAACTTTGCAAATCTCTGCCCTGGTTGACCTGATCCTTTTGTATTTATTTTTAATAATATTGGTTATCATTTTATTTATTTTTATTATTTTATTTTTTAAGTTTATTTCAGAGAGGAAGGGAGAGGGAGAGAGAAATAGAAACATCAATGGTCAGAGAGAATCACTGATTGGCTGCCTCCCGCACGCCCCCTACTGGGGATCGATTCTGCAACTGGGGCATATGCCCTGACCCGGAATAGAACTATGACCTCCAGGCTCATAGGTCGATGCTCAACCACTGAGCCATGCTGGCCAGGCTATCATTTTATTGAGCATACATGAAAGGGATGAATGGAGGGGGGGCGGGGGGGGGGGGGGGGGGGAGGCAGTAATCAGTGAATCTCAGTTAGATAGCACGTAAGTGGCAGTGCCAGGATTAGAACTGGTCACTTGGGGCTGCCCTGTTACATGGTAGTTAATCTTTTAGAATGGAGATTTTTAGCAAATAAAGCTCTATTTTATTTAAGCCCCAAAATATTTGCTGTTGTTTTTTTTAACTTGAATTGGTTGTCAGTATTTAAATGGAAAGTTTCATGCAAAACAAATTCAAATTTCTGCCTTCTGTTGCAAAATCAGATCTGAAAACACTGTTTCCACTTTCCCCTCCTGGCCTGTGCAGGGCTGCCTCTTTAGATCCCCACATTTGCTCTTCGGCCCTCACCTGGCTCTCTTCACTTGTTTATGTTTTCTGCTTAGCCATGTAGGTATTTGAGTTTACAAACCCCCCCCCTTTTTTTTTTTAACTTAAGCTTCTTTAGTTGCAAAAAGTATGATATAGATTATCTCAGTGTTTATTTTTCCACTGTATCATACTATGCTAAAAACACCACTGATAAAGCAATAATGTAAGCATAGCGAATCTTATGGTAGGGACTCTTATTTTTTGTTTGTTTGTTTCTTTGTTTTGTTTTTTTTTGTTTTGTTTTTTTTTTTTGGATGGTAGGGACTCTTAAAGCCCAGTCAGTCCCTAGCCTCTAGTTCTCATAAGTGTTGCTTAAATCATTTTTAGTTAAGCAATGTTGGCTTAAAATACTGAGATTAGTATGAATACAAAGCCAGTAAAAATGCAAAATACTTTCCATGCGACTTACTACAGCTATGCTTTCTTGATACTTTTATACCCAGCAAATAGTCTAGTTTGGTAGATGTTTTCTGTGCACTAGAAAAAATATGTACGCACTTGTTAGGTATAGTGGTCCATATATGTCAGTTCGAGGTGGTTAATAGTTCTGTTCAAATATTTATACTGTTATTATTCTATTAGTTACTAAGAGGTACTTTTAAAATTTTAGTTCTATGAATTCATCTATTTCCCTTTTAAGTCTGTTAGTTTTTGCTGTTTATATTTTAAAGTTATATAAGTGCACAACAAACTGAAGCCTATGTCTTCCTCCTGAAATGATCTTTCTCTTAAAATAAAAAATATTTTTAATGATTTTATACAAAGAGAGGAAGGGAGAGAGAGAGAAACATCTATGGGCTGCCTCTTGCATGGAACTGGGAATTGAACCGGTGATCTCTTGATTCATGGTTTGACATTCAACCACTGAGCCACAGTGGCTGGGAATGCTTACAGATTTTTAAGATGTGTCATAAATTAAATATGATTGTTCACACAGAGCATCGTGTCACAGTAAGAGATTTTCCTAGAACTTTAATGTTTTAATTACCAGTAGCAGCTAGTTACGCTGGCGTTGTGTTTGTGAATCGTTCATTCCTCACCTATTTCCACCCAGATTCGTGTCCTCCTGCAGGAGCGGGGTACTCAGGACAAGCGTCTCCAGGATCTGGAAGCTGAGCTGGAGAAGATGGAAGCAAAGCTCAGCGCTGCAGTCAGGGAGAAAACGTCTCTCTCTGCAAGCAACACTATGCTGGAAAAGCAGCTTACTGAATTAACCAGGACTAATGAGCTACTCAAATCTAAGGTATTTGGGCCACATGATAATATTGACAATTGAATAAGTAATAAACATGTTTTTTCTCATACACTGTTTTTTGGGGGAATCTTAGACTCTAGTTTAGTCTTTTTTCCCCCCTCACTAAATGTACCTTAAATATTAAGCTACTTCCAATAGGAATTATTATTGTATCTTTTTTATTATGTTGCCTAGCACATGAGAATTTATAAACAAACACGTTACTTTTTGTTTTAATGTCTGACATTTTCTCCCCCTCTTTCAAAGTAACCTCCATAAATAAGGACATTAATCAAAGTTGCAGAATTTGCATCTAGAAGTCACTTTAAAGATCTTTCTTTGAAATAATGAGTAGGATGATAGCCGGCTTCCATCTCAAATCCTTTTGGGAATGAAGGGCAAAAATGAATAAATATGTTCAATCAATAAATTGTGTTTATCAATACTAATAGGTCTTAATATGGTCATTTCACTTTTTACAGAAGTAGAAGGAGGCTGTAAATCACTGTTCAGTTTCAGAGCCATCGATTCACAGCCTATGTGCTGGAGTCTTTGCTTACAAAGGGAGTGAGGATGCATATGAATTAACCATGGGAAAGGGAACAGATTCCTGGGCCCCATCCAGGAAGGGCTGATTTAGTTGGCTTTGGATGGACTCCGTGCCCCTCACATATTTCAGAGTAGACCAGGCAATTTAAATGCATTTTGTTAAGCAAACACCCTTTATGAAATCTCTGCCAAGAAGTTTATTTTAGAGCCTTGCAATGAACTTTCCAGTATATAGAGGCAGGTGACCACCCAAACTACTTTCAGAAATAAACCAGAAAGTCACATGAAGTAGGAGGGACAAGAACAATAAGTAGTGTAAATAGTAATTGTGGTTCTCCAAAGGTTGTTTGCTCTGTTAGAATATGCTGCAGGCAAATAACAGTCCCAGTAACTGGTACTAATCAATAGTAATCAATACTTCAGTGATTTGTTATATAACTTAGCAGAACATATTTCTGAAGCTTTCACGTTTGTTGTACTTAGTTTTCTGAAGATGGTAACCAGAAGAACCTGAGAATTCTAAGCCTTGAGCTGATGAAGCTTAGAAACAAAAGAGAAACTAAGATGAGGGTGAGTGATGCCTTTGCTGAATGTGCTGCGTCTGGTTCTGTGGATCTGAACGATTCCTTATTTCCTGCAACATATTTCTGTTGTGTAGAGTATGATGGCCAAACAACAAGGCATGGAGGTGAAACTGCAGGCCACCCAGAAGAATCTGGAAGAGTCTCAAGGGAAAGTAGCACAGCTCGAGGGGAAACTGTGAGTGCCTAAAGGAAAGAGAAAGTGTTCCCACAATACTTACCTCATGGCCTGCCTCTCGTTCCCTTTTTCTTTTCCCAAGTGATAGTTGAGACTTACTCATTCCCAAACAATTTAGGCTGAAAAGATATGAGATTATTATTACTTGTGTACATCTTCTGAATCAATGATGAGGAGAGGCCTCATAAGCTTTCTAATAGCCTAATCTTGTGGAAGTGGTAAAGTGGACCCGAATTGAGAAGCACTGGTATAGGAGGCTGTGATTAATGCACAAATCTAGCCTTGTCTTTACTACTGAGCTCTCACTAACATACAATAAAATACACAGATCACTAGTAGTCAGTTTGATGACTTTTGACAGCTGTATGTACCTGAATAACCACCACCCGAATATGGTAGAGAATACTGCCGTCCCTTCACAAAGTTCCTCCATGCCTGCTGTTCCTGCTCCTCCCTGGCTAATGCCCCCCACACCACAACCACTTTCTGACTTCCATTGTCATAAATTAGTTTGGCTTTGGGGGGCACATTCATTATTGCAGGCATGTGTGTATAAACCTCCATCTGTTTACTATTCTCCTGTTGATCAACATTTGGGTTTCCAGTTTCTGACTATTATGAATGAGACTGCTACGTATGCCCTTTTGTGGACATATGTTTTTATTTCTCTTGAGTAAATAGGAATGGAATTCCTGGGTCATAGGGTACGTGTATAACATTTTCAAAAACTCAAAGTAGATGAACCATTTTACACTCCCAGTTAGCAATGTATCATAGTTCCAGTTGTTCCACACCCTCACCAACATTAGAAGACGTCAGTGCGATTTCAGCCCTGTGAAGTAGTATCTCATTTGTGGTTTTAATTTATATGCTATTACTGTCAATTATATTTTTATTGACCATTCGTATATATTCTTTTGTAAGGTCTCTATGTAAGCCTTTTGCCCATTGCTTAAATTGGGGTGTTTGGAGGAGGTAAACACATAAGTAATTGCATATAAGGCAGCTTAGAACAAAGGCTTTATGGCATACAGATGCTATTTTGTATGTGTGGTGGGTGGGGAAGCCAGGAAAGCTACAAAAAAGATTATTTCTGACACTTGGAGTGCTGTAGATGATGACTCTCATTATCACAGCCCTTTTATCAGTATATATTTGGAAAGCTTCTCACCTAAAAAAACTTAGGTCTCCTACTTGCGTATGTTAAATTGCCAACTTGAGATGTCACATAAATTAATAGTTCAGAGTTTAGACTTTTGCATCAGCCTGCAAGATACAGCAGTATCTGGTACAGAGTAAGCATCATGTGATCATTGTATGTATTAATATATACACCCTTTTTTTAGTGTTTCAATACAGAAAGAAAAGATTGATGAAAAATCTGAAACGGAAAAACTCTTGGAATACATTGAAGAAATAAGGTAATATCAATAGTAGTTTTAAATCAGCCCTCATTTTGTTGAAGTGTGATGAATACATCATTTTCATCTCTTTTCAGTTAATTTTTCCTATGCTTAAATAGATGTGCTCTTCAAAATAGTTTGTTTTAATGCAGTTGTGCCTCAGATCAAGTGGAAAAATACAAGTTAGACATTGCCCAGTTAGAAGAAAATTTGAAAGAGAAGAATTACGAAGTTTTAAGCCTTAAGCAGTCTCTTGAAGAAAATATTGTTACGTTGTCTGAACAAGTAAAAGACCTGAATGCTAAATGTCAGCTGCTTGAAAAAGAAAAAGGTATTCAAGTGTTTGTAGTATTACTGTCTTCAGCTAAGTACTATATATAGCATTTAAGAAAAGCATTGCTATGTTTAAAAACAACTTTTTAAAATAATTATGTAAATAACAAAAAATTCTGTTCTAGTTATGAGAATTTAGTCTTTTATAATGTATATTCTATTTAATATGTTGCTTACCTTGTAAATATATACAATTTTGCATTATTTGACTTCTCCATTCGGTAGCCATTTAAAATTGGTAGGTACATAGATGTAGGTGTGGGGGGTTATTATATGATTATATAGAGTAATGATATAAACTGTAGAGGGTTTTTTTCCTTTGAAAATACTTGATCTCTGTTAACATGCGATGTATGTTAATGAAACGTATGTATAATGAAATACAATGGGAATCTGGGTCCAAGGTTAGTATTCATATCTGCATACAGCGTTGTTAACATTTCTCTTTCCTAGAAGACCTCATCAGCAGGGACAGAGAACGGGATGAACATCTGAATTCTGAAATGCAAAACTTAAAAGAGAAGTTAATTCTTGAAAAACAAGAACATGAAAAGGACTTACAACAAAAGGAGTTGCAAATTGATTCACTTCTGCAACAAGAGAAGGAGTTACAACAAAAGGAGTTGCAAATTGATTCACTTCTGCAACAAGAGAAGGTAGTTTTCTATAATGAAAATAAAACTAGTACTTATTTTATGTCATACATTTCCTTGTGGTCAGAACACCTTAAAATTGTGTATATTCTGTGATCCACCAATTCTATTTTTAGAATTTTATCCTGAGGAAATAATCATGTTTATGCAGCAGATTTAACTGCAAAAGGTTAATGTCCGGCTGGTGTAGCTCAGTGGTTGAATGTCAAACTGTGAACCAGGAGGTCATGGTTCAATTCTGGTCAGGGCACATGCCAGGGTTTCATTCAGACTTAATCCCCAGTAGGGGGCATGCAGGAGGCAGCTGACTGATGATTCTCTCACATCATTGATGTTTCTATTGCTCTCTCTCTCTCTCTCTCTCTCTCTCTCCCTTTTTCTCTGAAATAAAAAAAAAAAATTTTAATGTTTACCGCAGGGGTATTGATAATGTGAAAAAATTATAAGCAACAGAGAAAGAAAAATTAAGGAAACTGTTTAAAGATCTTTACCAGCCCACTCTAGTTAGAGTACTACATAGGCATTTACAGTTACATTGAAAAAAAGCATATGATTATATGAGAAACAAAAGTGACAATTTTTTATAATCCAGATTATATAAAAAACATTTTGCATATCGATGAGAAAAAAGATAGTCCACTAAGAAAGAATGGGCATAGGATGGAAATACATAATTCTTAGAAATAGAAATTCAGATAGCCTGTAACAGTTACTAGATGTTCTACCTTAGTAGTAATCAAAGAAATGGAAATCATTTTTTTCTTTTTCACTTATACAATTGGCACAAATTTAAACGTTTGATAGAAAAAGACACTTGGTGAGAGTTGGACAATATTATATAAATATTGTATTGCTGAGGAACCTACAAAGACTAAAGGAATTAAGTAGATCTGTATATACCAACTTAAAAATCTCAATAACCATTTTTGTGTTTTTTAAATGACTTTTATATACACAGTATATATCTTTCATATTTTAAGAAGTATTATATAAGTAATAAGTAAAGACCTTAAAGCATATATATCGAAGTAGTGGTTATCTCTGCAATGGGAAAAGTAAGATTGGGATGGGAAGCAGTCAAGGCAATTTTCTCTTTATTGATGATGTCAACAATTTTTACAATTGTGATTTACTTATATTTATCTTTTTATTGGTGTGTACTCATATAACTTTAAAATATTTTCATATAACATTGAAATCACAGTCCTTTTTATATAATGTCATATGACAAAAATATGTTATAAACGCCAGTTGTAGAATTATGATTTTAGTTTTATAAGAAGTAGGTTTGTGTATATGTGTTGCATAGGAAAAAGACTAAAATAACATTTATCACAATGTTGACAAGTTATAGGATATACTCCCTGACAAAGTGAATATGATATCTTTATATTTTTTCAAATTCCTTGAGAACCTTGAATTTGATATTCTTACTTCATTAGCTGTACATTTTTCTGTCCTTAATAAAACCTCATAAATTATTAAATTAAGTTATTTAAACCTTTTGAATTATTTTGGTGGTTTTCTGTTGAATGTAGGAATTATCTTCTAGTCTTCAGCAGAAGCTCTGTTCTTTTCAAGAGGACATGATGAAAGAGAAGAATCTATTTGAGGAAGAATTAAAGCAAGCTCTGGATGAACTAGATAAATTACAGCAGAAGGAGGAAAAATCTGAAAAGTTGGTCAAACAGCTGGAAGAAGAGACAAAAGCTAGAGCTGAAGAACTGAAACTTCTGGAAGAAAAGCTGAAGGGGTTTGTATTAATAGGACTTTACACATATGACTTCAGATTTTACAAAGTATTTTTCCAGAACATTCTCGAGATTCTCATATCAATCATGCAAGTGAGTGAGGTTAGAATTATTTTGCAAGTAAGGAGAAGTAAGTACATGCATAGGATGTACATATAGATAAGTATGACAGCCAAAATAGAAGCCAAGCCCTTTCTTTATTTAAAGCCAGTGGTTTAAGAGTTTTAATTCAAAAATGACCAGCCCTAACCAGTTTGGCTCAGTGGATAGAGTGTGGGTCCGTGGACTGAAGGGTCCTGGGTTCCATTCTGGTCAAGAGTATGTACCTTGGTTGCTGGCTCAATTCCCAGTAGAGGGCGAGCAGGAGGCAGCTGATTAATGTTTCTCATCAATGTTTCTATCTATCCCTCTCCCTTCCTCTTTGTAAAATCAATAAAATACATTTTTTTTAAATGACCAAAATTTTGTGGATCCTGTAATTACTCTCATATTTTCTAAAAGTGAAGGGACATTAGTGTTACAATAATAATAGATTTAGAAAAATACTCCGCAAAATTAAGTTTCCCACCCTTTAATAAGACACACTTACATTTTTGTATACGTGTACATCAGTTTACATAGTGTGAGTTATATCTTTAATTACCTGTTTTGAAGGAGAACAAACACTTCAAAAATAACCATCAAAAAGCAAAATGGGGGGAAAAAACCAGAACTGGGAAACATTAAAAAATAAGAAATGGCTCGCCGGCATGGCACAGTGGTTGGGCGTCAACCTGTGAACCAGGAGGTCACAGTTAGATTCCCGGTCAGGGTACATGCCCGGGTTGCGGGCTCGATCCCCAGTACAGCGGGGGTGCAGGAAGCAGCCGATCAATGATTCTCTCTCGTCATTGATGTTTCTATCTATCTCTCCCTCTTCCTTACTATCTCTGAAATAAATAACACATATGTAAAAGTAATAAGAAATGTATTATTAGAAATAGACTGAGATCTCATGCTTTTTTTTTTAACTCCAGTTCCATATTGATTTCATCATGTTATGTGTCCTCCACTACATTAACTTAAATTAAAATGTCCAAATTACAAATAAAATAATTATATTACTTGAATCCTTGGGATTTCATCACTATAAAATTTCCTAGCGTAGACTAGACATGAGCCTACATGTAATATGTCTAGAACTGTGTGTATCTCTTGTTGGATACTTTTGTTATTAATTTCTGTGTGTGTTTTTTTTGTTTTGTTTTTTTTAATGCTTAGTGATTTAAAAAAAGAAAAAGTTAGGGGGAAAATGGTGTTTTAGAAAATAAAGTAAAATAAATAAGTAAAATTTTAAAAAGCACACCAAGCCGAAACCGGTTTGGCTCAGTGGATAGAGCGTCGGCCTGCGGACTGAAGGGTCCCAGGTTCGATTCCGGTCAAGGGCATGTACCTGGGTTGCGGGCATATCCCCAGTGGGAGATGTGCAGGAGGCAGCTGATCGATGTTTCTCTCTCATCGATGTTTCTAACTCTCTATCTCTCTCCCTTCCTCTCTGTAAAAAATCAATAAAATATATTTAAAAAAAAAAAAAAAAAAAAGCACACCAAGGTTTTATATATATACCTGCTTTTGCAGGAGCAGTACCAAATGTAATTAGGGGATTGTTCGATATTGCAGCCAGTCTCAGGGGACAGGTGCTTTAAGTGCCTGAGTAGATGCTTTCAGTTTCAGAAAGAAAGTGGACACAATCATTTATTCTGACTCAGAGAACTGTCCAGAGGTCAGGAGATAAATATTTTGCTACTAGCTGTGTCACTATGAGGAAGATAATCTTAATCTCCATACTTTTCTATTTCATTATATATAAAATAGTTTTATGAGATGGTTTCTGTGGTCCATCTCTTCCAGCCTGGAAATTTTATGCTAAAAAGGAAAACTAAGATAGTGGAAGTGATTCCTCTAGGGGGCAGGAAATATAATATTTTGTTATAAACCCATTAGTATGATTTGATTGCTTTTAGCTGCTGTGTGTATATTTTTTTAAGTCCCCTACTCATTACAGAATGAATTCGACCAGCTGTTATCTTGTCTCAGTGTCAAACTTAGTCTGTAAGTGAATAATGCTTCTTATTTATAGTTTTTAGTTCCAAATGTTCTTTAAAAGATCTCATAAGCTAATATGCATATCTAAAAATTATATCATCATTTTGTAACATATTATTTAATAAGTTGTTGAATCTTTGAATAACAATTTATAATGTGGGTTATTGATACAATCAAAATAGATCTACATAATCCTGTAACTTTTAAAACTATTAGTATCCTGTACTAACTATTTCTTAAAAGTCTACACGCAGAAAATTAAATTTTATTTAGTACAAATGCTTTCTAACTAGTAATTCACATTCTTAGCTGTTGCTATTAAGATTCTATCTGAGTCATTTTATCCTACTTCCCCAAAAATGTTTAACTACATACATACATGTGATATAAAACGATAAGTGTGGAAATAAGTAAATGAGGATGACAACAAAAGTAAAAAAGAACAGGAAAGATAATATGAAGTCCTACATAGTAACCATGCTTTTAGATGTAGTCGTTCATAAATTTACATCTAAGCTATCCAGTAGCTAATGTAAACAGGAAGGTTTGGGATTCACCTTTGACACCAAGAGTGTCAAAGGTAAATACTAACCTCTTTCTTAGGGCAATGATTGTAGTTAGTAGTTTATCTTTTCATTGTTCCATTTTTCTTAGGAAAGAAGCTGAACTGGAGGGAAGTAGTGCTGCTCACACTCAGGCCACCCTGCTTTTGCAGGAAAGGTGTAACACTGCAGAGCAAAACCTTGGAGATGTTACTGCTCAGTTCGAAAGGTATTTTTATTGGGAGCCTGTACTCTCAAACATAATAAGAGCAGGGAGAGGCACTTAGGAAAAACCGAACAACAAAATCAATTGCACAAATAAAATTATTGGAATCACTTTAAATTCCATAATGACCAACCATAAATGGGCATTTAGTGTTGCATGTTAGTCTTAGGATGTATAGTAATTTCCCTTTGATTTCAATGTGGCTAAGTTTGTAGATTCTTATGTGAACACTTTTGCATCTCATTTAAGAACTTCTTTCTGCCCCAAAGGACATAAAGACAGTCACCTGTTTTTCTTCTAAAAGTTTCAGTTTCTCTTTTCACTTTTTCACCTAGAACTGATTTCTGTGTGTAGTGATATTGGGATCAAATTTATTTTTGTTTTTCCATGTGGATAATGAATTGCCTAGTGTCCATTCATTGAATAGTACCTTCTTTCCTAGTGATCTTCATGTGATGTATTATATATAATACACATATGCACACACATATCATGTACTAATATATGTAGGTATCTATTTTAATTATAATTTTTCTGTCACAGCAGAAATATAAGTTATATAAATTTTATATTAGGCAAGTTTTAGTGTTGTTCTCAATCCTGTAAAGGAATTTCCTGTCTTGCTACTTTGAAAGATAGTGCCTTAGCCATTCTGTGAATCCACTCACCATCACTGTGCTAATACCATTAAGATTTATTCCTTCAGATCACACGTCTCCTTTCAGCTCTGTATCCACCTACCCAGCTGCCTACTTGACATCTCCAAGTAGATATCTGACTATCTTCCAATAGCAACGTGTCTAAAACAACTATTGATCTTCTCTCTATCTCTTTCTACCTCTAGTCTCTCATTCTTTTTTATATCAGTCAGTGACATCTTCCTCCCTTCTCATTCCATAAATCTTAGTGTCATCTTTGATCATTTTCTCTCCCTTTTTCCTAACACCTAATCTATTTCTGGAATTTTAAAATTCAGCCTCCAAAAGAGATCTCACATCTTTCCATTGCCAGCTCCTTAGGCAAAGCCTTTTTCACTCACCGGGACTGATAGTTATCTTGTATTTAATCTTCCAATGTGTCCCTGTGCACCTTCCCCAGTCTATTCTCCTCATGTCTCCAGAGTAGTCCACACACTTAGAGACCTCAGGTAACCCCATGGTGCCCTGCAGTGATGAGTGGCCTCAGTCCTCACTAGCTTCTGCTCTCGCCGCTCTTATTTATTAGGCTCCAGGCTCATCTTTTTTCTTTTTGTTTCTTTGTTTGGCTTGAAAATATGGAATTTGTGTATCATCCTCGCACAGGGGCCATGCTAATCTTCTCTGTATCATTCCAATTTTAGTAGCACTCCAGTCTCATCTTTTCATGCCCTATGGTCTACCTGCCTCTGAGCATCTTTTCCCTCTGAAATACTTTGCCCTAACTGCCTGGCAAAATCTTCCTTATCCATCATGTCTCAACTTAACTGAATTCCTCAGGCCTTTTCTGAATCACCAACCAAAATATAGTCTTCTCTGTTTTATTAGCTTAAGGAGCCCTGTAGTTTTTCTTCATAACTCTTACCCCAAATTTAATTATATACTTATTTTTTCAAATATTCTGTGAAAACCTGGAGAGGCATTTTCCTATCTTCCCCACAAGACCATGAACTCTGACAGAAAGTGCAGGGATTGTAGGATTTTTGTTTTAGAGTAATTTTTATGTTTGGTAGTTGGTTTTTTTAAATCTCTGTATGCATACTTCCTGCACATAGGAGTCACTGGATTTTTTTTTTTTATTGGAATGAAAAGCCTATGCAGTATAAGCTCATTAGCACTGACCTCGGAACATTGAATTCTTACTTGTATAAGTGCATAAATAGATACTGAAAATTTTTTTTGCCTTACCTAAAATTTTATAAACTATAAATTTATGAGCTACATATTTGTCATGTGTATGTTAACTTATTCTTCTTGTTAATAAGCTATAAAGCATTAACAGCTAGTGAGATAGAAGATCTTAAGCTGGAGAACTCATCACTTAAGGAAAAAGTGGCCAAGGCCGAGAAAAGTGCAGAGGATGTTCAGCATCAGATATTGGCAACTGAGAGCTCAAATCAAGAATATGCAAGGTATGTAGTAAAAATAAAACCATGCTTGTGGCCCTCAAACCATTAAGACAATGTTGTTAAAAGCCAGCTACCAAGTGATGCAGGGAGTTGTAGTTCGTTTCATGGCTTGCTTTGGGTGATCTCAAACTGCAAATAAAGAATTTAGTTAAGCCCGGCCAGCGTGGCTCAATGGCTGAGCATCTATCGACCTATGAACCAGGAAGTCACTGTTGGACTCCCAGTCAAGGCACATGTCTGGGTTTCGGGCTTGATCCCTAGTGTGGGGCGTGCAGGAGCAGTAAATCCATGATTCTCATCATTGATGTTTCTATTTCTCTCTCCCTCTCCCTTCCTCTGAAATCAATAATACAAAATATGTATTTTAAAAAGAATTTAGGTAAAAATATAAAGTTCTCAAAAAAGTCCTTAAATTTTAAAAAATAAAGGAAAAGAACAAAAAGTAATTAAATGGTTGTAAAATGTTTAGTGGACTCTTCTCTCTCAAACATCTAGGATGCTTCTAGATCTGCAGACCAGAGCAGCACTTAAAGAAGCAGAAATTAAAGAAATCACAGTTTCTTCTCTCCAAAAAATAAGTGATTTGGAGAACCAGCTCAAGCAACAAGGTGAAGACTTTAAGAAGCAGCTGGAAGAGGAAGCAGCAAGGTAATCACGCTTCAGAACCCAGGTGCCACATGCCTCAATTTTTTTTTTTTCGAATACACTGTGTCTTTAATTTAATTTTCTGTTACAGAAAAGCTGGAAAAGAAAATACAGTGGCAGAATTAACTGAGGAAATGAATAAGTGGCGTCTCCTTTATGAAGAGCTATATAATAAAACAAAGCCTTTTCAGGTGTGTCAAATAGGACTGAACGTAACTCATGTTTGTTTTAGTTATTCGCTTTATCACGACAGTGACTTGGTTTTTCTGAAAGACCATTTTGCTGTGCATCTAGTGCCAATTTAACTTCCTATTAAAGAAGGCTTATAAATTTTGTCAAATTATTATGCATACATATTTTAGTAAAGCCTTTATAGTCTAGAACAGGGGTGGGCAAACTTTTTGACTCGAGGGCCACAATGGGTTCTTAAACTGGACCGGAGGGCCGGAACAAAAACATGGATGGAGTGTTTGTGTGAACTAATATAAATTCAAAGTAAACATCATTACATAAAAGGGTACGGTCTTTTTTTTTTTTAGTTTTATTCATTTCAAACGGGCCGAATCCGGCCCGCGGGCCGTATTTTGTCCACAGCTGATCTAGAAAATACCTCCTAATAAGAGACTTAAAGTTAATAGCTTAGAAGTTTCTTTTGATCATTAATCTATGTAAATTTGTGATAATTATTTTGTTATGATCTTTCTCAGTGTATCTCAAGTTAATACACTGATCTTAAGATAGCCAAAGGATAAATGCTAATCTTGGCACTTCAGTAGATTAGGAGTTCTGGTTATAATATGATCCAGTTGATACAAATTAGGCTGGCCAGCCTAGTCTTCTTGTTTCTTTCCCTGTTTTTATGATCTTTGAAATGAAAAACACAAAAAATTTTTTTAAAGTCTCATTTATGGAGAGCTCTGAGAATATGTTAACAAAATCTGTTTTTGTTCATTTTTAAATTTTATTTTAACTTTGTCTTCTATATAATTTATATAGACAAGTAAGATTTAACAGTTTTAAGTCTTAACTTTATATAAAAAAAACCTATTTTTCAGCTACAACTGGATGCATTTGAAGCAGAGAAACAGGCTTTGTTGAATGAACATGGTGCAGCTCAGGACCAACTAAATAAACTAAGAGATTCTTATGCTAAATTATTGGGCCATCAGAATCTAAAGCAAAAAATCAAGCATGTTGTGAAATTGAAAGATGAAAATAGCCAACTCAAATCGGTTTGTAAAATAACACAGTCCTACTGAAGATATTGGGGTGGGGTATTTTTTATTCTATTTATAACATTTAAGTAAAATGAAGGACTTTGGTATCAGAAAAAAGTGATAGTCCATCTAACAATTAAGGATTTATTTTATTTTATTTTACATTGTTGACCAGATGGGTATTAATGTTCTCAGATTTTCTAACTACATTAGTATGTTGAAAATTACTAGAGCCCTAGCCGATTTGGCTCGGTGGTTAGAGTGTCGTCCCACAAACTGAAGGGTTGTAGGTTCGATTCTGGTGAAGGGCACATACCTTGGTTGCAGGCTCGGTTCCTGGCCCTGGCCGGGGCACATGGGGAGGCAACAAATCAATGTGTCTCTCTGACATCGCTGTTTCTCTCTGTCTTTCCCCTTCCCTTCCATCCTCTCTAAAAAATGATTGGAAAGATTCAGAAAGGTTTACATATCCATTTCTATTTGTAAAGTAGGAAAATCCTTGATGTAAGTAAATACTATAACGATAGGCAGTGTTCAAAACTAGTTAGGCATTTAAGTTTTTTAACATCTTTATTGAAATACTAGAGGCCCAGTGCACGAATTCATGCCTGGGTGGGGTCCCTCGGCCTGGGCGAGGGTGGGGGGGGAGGACCACAGGAGTTTGGGTGGGGGGAGGAACTATGGGAGGTTGGCTGTCAGAGTACACTGACCACCAGGGGGCAGCTCCTGCATTGAGCATCTGCTCCCTGGTGGTCAGTGCGCATCATAGCTACTGGCCGGTCGTCCAGTTGTCCAGTCCTAACGGTTGCTTAGGCTTTTACATATATAGATAATTCACACATATAGATAATTCACACACCATTAATGTGTACAACTCAGTGGCTTTTAGTATATGTACAGATAGCTACAGCCATCAATCACCACAGTCAATTTTAGAACATTTTTATTACCTCAAAATGAAACCCCTTACCCTTTAGCTATTATCTCCCTATCTTCTCATCCACTCCTCCCTCCCATCACTAATCTACTTTCTGCCTTTTTCTAATGTTTAGTTTCACTAGGAAGCAGGTCAGTGGAGCCCCTCAGGTCCTCATGCTGGAAGTTGATCTCAGCATTTATTACTGAATTTTAGAGAGAGAGGAAGAGAGAGAAACATTGGTGTGGGAGTGAAAAGTTGATCAGCTGCCTCCTGCACACCCGCTACCAGGGATGGAGCCTGCAACTCGGGCATGTGCCCTGACCAGGAATAGAACCAGCAACCCTTGGGTGCATAGGACGATGCCCAACCAATGGAGTCCCACCGGCCGGACTAACTTCATAGTCTGAAAGCCTCTATCTAGTAGTGATTTTTGCCATTTGGTTTGATATCTGAGGGACTTTGGAATTTGTCAGTAACATTGGTTACACATTTTACCAACGTGATCTTAAATAATTGTTTATTGTCTACTTTTTTTTTTTACACAGGAGGTGTCAAAGCTCCGCTCTCAGCTTGCTAAAATAAAGCAAAGTGAGAGAAACCTTCAGGAGGAGTTGAATAAAGTTCTGGGCATCAGACGCTTTGATCCTTCAAAGGCTTTTCTTCATGAAAGTAAAGAAAATTTTGTTCTGAAAACCCCATTAAAAGAAGGTAAGAAATGAATGCATAGAAGTGTCATCTTCCTTTGGATTTGCTTTTAGAACATTTAGCAAATTAATCATTTTTATGAACTGAAAAATTTTTTTACAGTTTCTGTTATGAAAGAAATTCTGAAATTTTTGTGTGAGATGCCTTTTCTTTCCTCCTTCCATACTTTATATTTTCCATGTCTCCAGATCCCATCTGTCCTTCAAGCCCATTGAAACTCCATCTTCCTTGAAGCCTTGTCTGACTTTTTTGTTCCTACCTGCCCCCCAACCAGAACTATTCCCTGTAACACACACTTAGCATTTTAACCTCAATGTCTAATTTGTAGTTTTGGAGAAGTAGGTATTCTCTCTTGATTGTGAATCTTGGTATCATTGACAATAAATCAAAATGGGTTGAAACAGTGAATGAAGAAATATAAATAAAACTATGCTACAGAATGTGAACATTGCTTTGTCCACCTTACAAAAGATAGCAGGTGCCCGTTTTTAGTTTATACTGACTGATGAACTGGTGTTGATTTAGGACACTAACACCTCTTTTTATTAATCCCTCCAGGCAATACAAACTGCTACTGAGCTCCTATGGAGTTTCAAGAATCATGCAAGTAAAGATCTGAAAAACCAAGTTGAAGATTATTTTATTCTTATTCTTGTTGCTGTTATTGTCGCTGTTTGTAATGGATACTTTTAAAATGTATTTAATATTAACTTCCTATTTTTAGGTATCTGAAAGCAAGTTCAATGTTTTTACCCATATGTCTTCTGACATTTTATTTTCTCTTGTTGGTACCTCCTCCCTGATGTTCATTTTCGTCACTTCATTGTAAACCTTCTGCTTGGCTTTCCAGCTTTACAACTCATCCCAGCAATCAGCCTTCCTTTAAAAATCACTTTTATGTTATTACTCCCCTATTCTGAAACTAAAGGTGGTTTCAAGATCCTAATACCCAGTTTTTTAGTTTGATCCTGGATGGCTTTTCTGATCTGAATCTCTTAAGCTAAGACAAAATACCTTGGCTTGTTCTTGCCTCTACATTTATTCTCCTAAAAATGTTCAGTGTGTTTTACCCATCACCCATTTATCCAGTTCAAGCAAGAAGTAAGGGCATGCCTAATTCCATAGTCATCTCTTATCAGAGTCACTGAGCTGGTCAATAATTTGCAGATTTCTAGACTCTATCCCAGTCCTACTAAATTAAAATCTGAGTTTTGGGATGAAACAAATCTGCATTTGAAACAAACTCTGCAGTTAATTCTTAAATGCATAAAAACCTGAGAAACACTAAAAATCTGAAATAACTTTTTTTATTTTGAGAGGCTGTTTTTTAAAGCTGGGAACAGTGAAATAAGGAAGGGTTTAGGACAGAAGAAACAACAGGAGAGCCTCGGCAGGGCTGCTCTGGCTCATTGAGAAGTCAGAGGAGAGGGGCCCTTGGGGACAGGTACAGGGGGTTAGCCCAGGACGAGTTGTTGCTGCCCACTCTCCCCTGGTTGCAAGTTTCATGGGGACCCTTAGAGTTTAGGAGATGTAGGCCTGTGTGAAGAACAGGGGGAAGGGAAAGGCACCAGCATGCTCCTAGGAGGGGGAGAGCACTTGTCTAAATAGAGTTTTTCTTCTATTGCTTGGCATCGGCCTGACTACTGGATGATGGATTAGTATTTCTGAAATGTGAAATAAAGATCACACAGTAAGTCATTAACTCATATGAAGTTACATAATGCTTCCATTTAAGGTATATTTATTATCTCTGCCCTCCCCGACCTACCTTGTCTCTAGAATTACAAATGGTAGTATACTATTTAGAGAATGGTAATACTCCATCTAAAGTTTCTGACTTACACAGTTAGTATATTATAATCCACCTTTTAAAATAATGTCTCCCCCTTAAGGGACCAACAAAGATTATTACAATCAGAATAGCTTTTCACAATAAGTGATTTTTTAAAATATATTTTATTGATTTTTTTACAGGGAGGAAGGGAGAGGGATAGAGAGTTAGAAACATCGATGAGAGAGAAACATTGATCAGCTGCCTCCTGCACACCCCCTAATGGGGATGTGCCCGCAACCAAGGTACATGCCCTTGACCGGAATCGAACCTGGGACCCTTCAGTCTGCAGGCCGATGCTCAATCCACTGAGCCAAACCGGTTAGGGCCACAATAAATGATTTTATTGGAACTTAATACATAGTTGAATTTTTAAATGTCATTTTAATTAAGTTCAGAGGAAATATAGAAATTAGGAAATTTATATAATAAAATCAAATAGTTCCAAGACTTCTGCTTTTACTAAAAATGGAGTAACAGGGATCAAATTTATTGTTCCTCACCCTACCCTACACACACACACACACACACACACACACACACACCCCTAAAACTATCAAAAACTAGAGAAGATATACAAAATAATGAGTTTCAAGATGCTAGGCATGAGACAACAATCCCTGAGTGATGGGAAAAATCAAGGTGAGCCCTATCATTGTGCCCTGATTACAGCCTTGAGAGAATTTTCAAATGATGTAGGAGAGGGGAATGCAGGCAGAGCCCACCCAAGCACCAGAGTTGAAAAGACAGAGCTGAGATGTTAGGAGACCAAAGTGGCCAGAGTTGGCAGGACAGAGTACGAGAAAGGAGAAAATTGCACAGAGAGAAAACTCAAGGTCAGCCAAGGGTCCCTTAAGTTTTCATCAGTTGTACATGTGAGGAAACTACTTGAGGCCAGGGAGAGAAGCACCCCCCCAAAATTAGAAGTAACAGTGCTCAAAGCTGACACAAGGCTAGAAATACTGCCTGTGACTACCAGCCAAGCTGGACAAACCTAAGGATGTACAAGGCGTTGAGTAGGATGTACAGAAGGATTTAGCCTCAGTATTGGGGAATATAGGTATACCTCATTTTATTGCACTTCACTTTATTGTACTTTGCAGATGATGTGTTTTTTACAAATTGATGGTTAGTGGCAACCCTATGTCAAGCAAGTCTATTGATACCAAAAAGATTATGACTTGCTGAAACCTCAGATGATTATTAATTAGCATTTTTAAGCAATAAAGTGTTTTTTAATTAAGGTACGTACATTGGTTTGTGTGTTTTTTAGACAATGCTAATACACCTTGGAACAAAGCTCAAGAATATTACAGGATTATTAAAATATGAAGCACTTACAAAGGTAAATTTCACAGTTTCTAACATCCAGTTCTGTAGAAAGGCAGAAAACACTACCCCTAATGAAGAAAATAATCCACCCAGGGCTAACACAGAGGTTATAATTACCAGAGGGCATCAAAACCATACATACCAAAACCTAGTAAAAATATGTAACGGAAATAAGACCCAAATCAAACTTGCAAAAACTACAATATGTGAGATGGAAAAATAGTACTCTCAATGGGAATGACAGCAGATTAGGCATTGCAAAAGGAACGATTAGTGAACTTGGCAACGGCAGTATGAACTGTCCAAAATGAAACGCAGAAACAAGATTTTAAAATGAACAGAGCACCACGGGGCTCTGGGACCACTTCAGGCAGGTTGATATATGTGTAATCGGAATTCCCAGAGGAGGAAAGGAGGGGACAGAAAAATTATTTGAAGAATTACTGGTGGAAGCATTTTCCAATTACGATGAAAACTGTAAGCCTACAGAGCCAAGGAACACAATGAATCCTAAGAATAAGAAATATGATCATCACAATCAAATTGCTAAAAAGCAGTGATGAAGAAAACTAAGCCTAGAACAAAAATAGTTTTCAGGAACAAAGATGATAAAATTATTATAGACATAAAAAGACTAAAAAATTATCACCAGCAGATCCACGCTAGGAGAAATCTGAAAGGTCCTTCAGGCAGGAGAAAAGTGATGTCAAGTGGAAATAAGAATACACGAAGGAATGCCCTAGCTGGTTTGGCTCAGTGGGTAGAGCATCCCGGGTTAGATTCTGGTCAAGGGCACAAGCCTGGGCTATGGGCTCAATCCCCAGTAAGGGGTGTGCGAGAGGCAACTGATCAATGATTCTCTTTCATCATAATGTTTCTCTCTCTCCCTCTCCCTTCCTCTCTGAAATCAATAAAGTGTGTTTTTTTTTATATAAAAGAATACACCAAGGAATGAAGAGCACTAGAAATAGTAACTGCATGGGTAAATATATGACTTGTTTGGTCTTTTCTTACTACTTTATTCTTTTAAAAAGATAATTGTTTAAGCAAAAATAACGCAGTTTGGAGTTTACACATATTTAAAATTAGAGCATGACAGCAAGCTCAAAGTTCAGGAGGGGAAAATAGAAGTATGTGATTGTAAAGTTCTTAGGTATATGTAAAGTGGTATGTTATCTAGGAATAGATTGTGATGTTAATAATGTATATGGTAAACCCTAAGAAAATCACTAACATAAAAAACTTGTAGCCAGAAGTCAAAACAGAAGATAAAATAATCAGAAAAAAAAAATTTATTCAAAAGAAGGTAGAAAAAGAGGGAAAAGAAAACAACAAGAAAAAAGAACCCTCATGCACTGCTGTTGGGAATGCAGACTGGTGCAGCCACTGTAGAAAAAACAGTTTGGAGTTACCTCAAAAAACTAAAAATGGAACTTCCATTTGACCCAGTAATCCCACTTGTAGGACTATATTCCAAGAAATCAGAAACACCAATCAAAAAGGATATATGCACCCCTATGTTCATAACAGCACAATTTACAATAGCTAAGATTTGGAAATAGCCTAAGTGCCCATCAGCAGATGAGTGGATTAGAAAACTGTGCTACATCTACACAATGGAATACTACGCTGCTGTAAAAAAGAAGGAACTCCTACCATTTGCAACAGCGTGGGTGGACCTGGAGAGCATTATGCTAAGCAAAATAAGCCAGTTGGAGAAAGATAAATATGACATGACCTCACTCATTTGTGGAATATAATGAACAACATAAACTGATGAACAAAATAGAGCCAGTGGAGGGGAAATATTTTAGAATCTAATAGAAGTAATCCTGTTATTTGCAGATTTTTAATATTTCCCACAACTTTTATGATATCATACTATGTTAGTACAGTTTTGACAATATTATTATACCTAAAATCCTTTTATTCTTGAAATATTAATGTTTATTGCATGTAATATTATATGAAAGATCATTTTTTCTTTAATAATTGGTGTTTATTGCATGTAACATTTAAATTCGTTTTTCTTGAGATATTAATGTTTATTGCATGTAACATATTTAAGATCATTTTTCTTGAAATATTAATGTTTATTGCATGTAACATTTTTATATTTAAAATCGTTTTTCTTGGAAAAAAATATATTTTCACTTCTGAAAAAAGAAAAAAAAGGAAAACAAAGAACAGTGCTGGCTGGTGTGGCTCTGTTGATTGTCATCCCATTCACCATAGGTCACCAGGTTCGATTCCCAGTCAGGGCACATGCCTAGTTGAGGCTTGAGCCCCAGTAGGGGGCATGCAGGAGGCAGCTGATCTACTCTCTCTAAAAAAAAAAAAAAATCAATAAAAACAAAAACAAATGACAAATGGGCAAAAAGAAATCAGATTGCAATATGGTAAAATTAAATTTATTTCAATCGTCAACATTAAATATAAATAGTCCATATACTCCAATTAAAAAAAAAAATGGCCAAATTAAATTAAAAAGCAAAATTGACTATATGTTGCCTATAAAATGCACTTCAAGTATAAAGACAAAAATAGATGGAAAAATAAAAGGATGTGAAAAGATACACCAAACTGAGAGGTGACATCAACAAGATGATCAGGAAGCCCTGGATCCTCTTTCTCCCCAAGGACACACTGATTCAACCACAATACAGAAACTGTGAGAACTCCGGAAACTAGCTAAGGGTGACAAGAACACACAATGGAGAAAGGACAGCCTCTTCAACAAATAGTGTTGGGAAAACTGGGTGTCCAAATGCAAAAGAATGAAATGGGAACCTTATCTTAAACCATACATAAAAAAAACAACTCAAAAGGGTTAGACTTAGCCTGGCCGCTGTGGCTCAGTGGTTGAGCCCTGACCGGGAATCAAACTGTGACCTCTTGGTTCATAGGTTGATGCTCAACCACTGAACCACACCAGCTGGGCAATAAACCCTTTCTTTCAGGACAACTTTTGGACTCAAGATTTTTTATTTATTGATTGATTATTAGAGAGAGAGAAAGGGAAGTGGGGGGAGATTTGTTGTTATCCCACTTGTTTGTGCATTTGTTGGTTGATTCTTATATGTGCCCATAGGCAGTGGTTCTCAACCTTCCTAATGCCGTGACCCTTTAATACAGTTCCTCATGTTGTGGTGACCCCCAATTTCATTATTACAAATTGAACATAATTAAAGCATACTGATTAATCACAAAAACAATATGTAATTATATATGTGTTTTCCGATGGTCTTAGGCAACCCCTGTGAAAGGGTCATTAGCCCCCCAAAGGGGTCGCGACCCACAGGTTGAGAACCGCTGCCCTAAGGGGATCTAACCCTCAACCTTGGTGCATTGGCAGAATGCTCTAACCCAGTGGTCGGCAAACTCATTAGTCAACAGAGCCAAATATCAACAGTACAACGACTGAAATTTCTTTTGAGAGCCAAATTTTTTAAACTTAAACTATATAGGTAGGTACATTGTTATTAACTTAATTAGGGTACTCCTAAAATTAGGGTACTCCTAAGCTGGCCTTTGCTGAA